CTTGATGCATTTCAATAAAGACAGTATCACAATGATTACGACTAACTGATAAATTAGGACACAGGTTATAATCAATATCATCTCTTATATATAAAGCTACTCCTCCCCCATGTTTGTTAAGTCTATCAATATGAACAAGTGAATATCCGTCAATATTAAACATATTAACTGAAATGTTGTTTCGAAACCATGTTTCAGAAATTCCAATAACTGTGAATTTGTAATCTAATGAACTGAGAAGAAGTTGTAGATCGTCGTAATTACGGACAAGACTCCTTGAATTAACATGTAATATAGAAAAATTATCTGGAGTAGATTTATATTTTTGTACAAAATCATCAGAAAACATATACTTGCAGGAATCATTGGTTACATTGTTAGGTTGTAATATTTTTGTAGAACTCAGCTCATTATTAAGTTCATTTAGACTAAGAGGATTTACGGACAGAGAGTGGTATTTGTCCTCATCGATACATTTGTCTAAGTGAAAGAAAGTAAAAATAGATAACAAAAACACATCGTTGTCTAGGTGATGATTGAAAGGAAAAATTTCAGAGTTGCAAGGAATACAAAATGCATCGTCTTTGAGTGATTGTAATTTAGAACAGTTCTGACAGAGTAGTTTATTACCCCTCATGAGAAAAAAGAAAAAAGGAAGTGCTGCAAAAAGTGTACCAAAAAAGAAAAGAGGGAAACGACAAACAAAATACAAAGGCCAACAATAGGTTGCCCAAACAAACACTAAAATGTTTGAAGTCTAAGAGAGAGCGATAAAAGTATACCCCTCATAAAAGTTTTAAAAACACACACATTAAAAAAAAAAAGGTAATATAAATACTAATGATAAGATGTCCAAACAAACACGTACGTATTCGAGGTTTAAGAGAGCGATAAAATCGTATGGCCTGAAAGATATGAGATCACATTAGCTAATTTCTCCAAAAACCACACTTACTGAAAAAATACTTAAATTCGTAAGATAATTTATGGGTACGTCACTAGAGTTTAAAAACAGGAGACAGATCTTACAAAGCCGATGTAAATACCACAGCCGTAGAAAACAGATCAGTGTCTACTACAGGTGTGTAGAAAAAGGCATGCGGTGTCAAATGGTGTGCGAGACGCATAGTTACCAACGTTCCTGATGATGGGGTTGACAAACTCTGTCTCTGTAAACGATCCATTGTGGTCAGAGATAAAGGAACTCCATGAGTGAGATTTGCATAATTAACCGTGGGAAAAGATCGGTGTTTACAAACACAAAGCACATGGCTAAAGGAGTGAATTTACACGTAGATAAAAATGCGAGTTGAAGAGGTTGAGAAAGTCGGTAGCAGCATATATATAATACATACAGGATAGATTGATTATGGCAGAATTCACCCTCACCCCTGGAATAACAGCCAAGACGCTTGACGCTGTGCTCTTGGTCTGTACTCCAGAATAAGCTTGGTGCCAATAAGACGAACTCTGGTTGACATTTCCTTTTGCTTCCTCAACTCATAGGCTGCTTTTTCGAGGTTGTAGCGTACTTGTTTAAGTGCCGGAGGCAGATCTATGCGAACTGTAATGGCTGGCTTCGGTCTCGGTCGTTTAAGCGATTGATGGAACGCATTGAGGACGGCATCACGGTGGAATATTGACATGAATCGAACGATGATCGGGTCTGGGTTAAGTGGTCGAGCGTTGGAAGGTGATGTTGACGTCGGTTACCGCGGCAGACGATGAGCATTGATGAAGTGCATCTTCTGGACTTGATCTTCAGGTATGCCAAGCTCGACGATTCCCTTCCGCACGATGTCCATGATGTTTTCGCGTGTACTCTGAGGAACTCCGTAAAGCAGAAGGTTTTGTTTACGATCATGGATCTCCATGGCAACTAATGAGTCACGCATACTTAGGTCACATTCCTTCTGCATTTTTGACATAGCAGGGAGGGTCACGCGTTCAAGTGTATCAATTCTCGCGGCTGAATCTGCCGATAATGCTTCAACTTCATGAAGAGAAGATTTTATATTTTTCAATTCATCGCGAACTGATAGTAGAGTTGTTGTCACACAATCAAGTTTGTCAAGTACAGTCGAAGAAAATTTGTCAAATTGGATTCTGAATTCCGATACCGCTTCTTCCGTAGCGTACGTGTTAGAAATGGGCGTGTCACTGTGTTTGCCCGTAATGGGGACGGATTTAGATCTGGTATTCGACATTTTCGGTACACAGATGGACACAAATGTTCAATAAAAGCAGAAAATCCAAATAATCAAGTATAAGTTTACCTTACGATGTAAGCAAATAGTTCAAAAGTAGCTAGTTGTGGTGGATTTGGAGAGATTTAACAGAGCAAAAAAAAATCCTTCTACATCCTTTCCTGGTGTTATTTGATGATTGTTTGATTATTTGGGGTCTTATGTTGTTAGTGTCAAATACACAATATGCTTTGTCAAAGACATGTTTGCAGCATCAGCACACTGAACAGAATATCAATATTTTCTCCAACTATGATGGATCTGAATGTGGGGTTTGGTGTCCTCTACATAGACAGTTGGGTAAACAAAATGGTAGGTGAGGCCAACCATCAATTACCCTAGGAATAATTGAAATTTATACAGCTTGCACAAGAACAAAAGAAGTCTTAATTCACACACAGTTCCAGGCATTTGAGAATTCTGTACAGAAACCCAACAAACAATGATGTGGCAATTTGCATACCGATACATGTACTGAACATCTGAAGTTGATACGTGTATGTAGAATACTACACTAATGCTATTAATAAATACTGTGGCAGCATCAGAGAGGCGCTGATCACACCTTTTCAAATCCACCGTCTGCTTGGAGCCAGAAGGGCATTAACTCACAATCTAACACAGAGTTAATTACACCCTTCTGGCTCTCAACAGATGAAATGTATCTGGTATGTATGAAATCATAATCTTGATAATATACATGTAGATAACAAACAAATTGACAATGACATTTTCGTAAAGTTGGTATTCACATTTAAGGACTCTCACATGTACATGTACATGTATTAACCAAGGTGATGTAAATGGGTACCTGGCAGGAATTAAATCCTTGAAATGATGGAGCGCTGTAATGGCAGCTAGGCTAAAGCCGGGGTAATAATAAATGCGCCTCGGAAATGAATTTCTAGATAGACAGCGCTATAGAAATGCCTATTATTATTATTATTATTATTATTATTAACTCTGTCTGGACAGCAGGGAAGCCTAGATGATGGCGACAGTCCATGTTCGTAAAATTATCAGTAGAAAATAAATAGTGAGATCTTCAAGGTGCCATGTACAAGGCAAAGGCAGCAATTACTAGTATGCTCTAGCAGATTCTGGCTGCTCACTGGCATCTACATGTAGGCAACTGCACTAGTTTTAGGCCTGGATTTACGGTTGTCCCTTCTGTTGTGTACTTGAAAACGTGATGGCCCAAGGTAATTTTGTTAAAAGCAAGACTTTTAAAGGGAAATCCAACCTTAATAGACAACTACGCTAAAAGAAAGCAGATAAATCAGAGAAGCTGACTGATGAAAGTTTTAATTAAATCTGACTAAAAATAAGAAAGTTATGATTCATGGAAAGTTGTGTTCACTATACGTATGGGAACTTCAAATTGGCTGAATCAGTCAGTATTAATCAGTCACTACTTTCCCAGTTGTTCCAACACACAAAATGACTAAAAGTTCAATTTTTCAAAAAATGATAGCTCAGTAATAATAATAATGATAATATTAATAATAATAGTAGTAGTAGTAGTAGTAGTAGTAGTAGTAGTAGTAGTAGTAGTAGTAGTAGTAGTAGTAGTAGTAGCAGAAGTAGTAGTAGTAGTAGTAATAATGATAATAATAATAATAATAATAATAATAATAATAATAATAATAATACAATTTATTATTATTATTATTATTATAATAATATGCTACCTATAATATATTTTGATTAGTGCAGCAAGGAGAAGGCACTTCAGAGAAAAACAGAATGAATTATATTTTTGTGCACGGCTAACAGGGTAATATTCTGCATCCTACATGTACATCACTATACGGTGGCCAAACTGCCAATTTCTGATTCGCATAGACTTTATAGTGATCTCATATTTCACACATTAACTTTCTTATTATTGGTCCAATATATTTCAAACTTTTGCCATTTAGTTAATCTTATTTTTCTGCTTTCATAGAAATCAACTCATTACAAGGGTTGGATTGCCCTTTAAAGTTGATGCCCACGCAGGGCAATTATATTAAAAGCATGTCACTGTACCTTGTAAAGAGGATTACATTTTGGTCATCACATGCAAATATGTTGACAGCATCAATTGCTAATTTGGACTTTGGCAACATCTAAGTTGCAAAAAGCAATCAAACTGAAAGCATTAGTCAAAAGCATTGACATTTTCAAATTTCAATGTCCTGTTGCAATGGGTGATTAAACTTTCAGGAGTGCAGATTAATAACTTATTTCCAGCAAGAAACCAGAATAAAATAATCATTTTAGCACACCTCACGTAGAGACAATGACATGATATGATCAGTTGTTGATTAGTTGTTGACCAATTTCAAGTGAGTTTTCATTTCCGAGTGAACAACAACAACAACAATAATGGTTCTAATAATTATGATGATGATAATAATAATAATAATGTACACTTATGATGATTATTAAAACAACAACAATAATGATAAATAATAATGATAATAAAACATGTTATAACAATAAAATGTAAAAAATATTAATATTAATAATAATAACAATACTAATATTGATAATAATAGCAATAATAATGTCAACATGTCTCTTTACCCATAAAGCCTTTACATGTATATCAGAAAATAAATGAAAGAAAGAAGACTATAATAATTATAACAATATACAAATATTGATGATAATAATAATGATAATAATAATAGCAATAATAATGTCAATATGTCTCTTTACCCTTAAAGCCTTGATCAGAAAATAACTTAAAGAAAGAAGAATATATACCTGACATGACCTGTCGTTGACCAGCTCGACTGACCAGCGCCCCTCATACTTGATCCAGACAAAGATGACCCCTTGAGCATCACAGGTAGCCATCTTCTGAAATGGTTCGTTCCATCTCACCAACACCACCTGCAAATCACATTAGCAAATAAAAACAAAATACATGTACATGATCATGATATTGGAAAGAGTTTAGAACAATAAACATAAAAACTACTTTTGGAGTAGACTGTTTGACGCACGTACCCAAGTCGGATTTTGGTTCTGTGTGCAGGTTTTTGGGGTTTTTTTTAATACCGGCACTCCATTTTTTTTTTTATTAGTTTGTCTGATTTTTCTGCTTTTATTGAAAGTAAGTTATTTTTCGAGTGGACTTGTCCTTTAAGTTTTATCTTGACTGTGCCTGATCTACATTTGTGGGTCATGTACACATCTCATATACATTTGTACACCATGGATAAATAATATGTCTATCATAATTTATAAATGAATATTAAATTGAATCACAACTTAAATCTTATTTGTGTGGCATGTATACCTCTTAAAATGATCATGTATCTTTCTGAAGTAATCAAATACTAGCATGACTTTTTCTCAACTGTGTAAAACCATGATTAGACTCACATTACCATTTCAAAGTACCTGCAACATACATCTGACTGTACATTCGATCTTTACTAATACAGTAATGACTTTAGACATGACTTATCTGTGGGAGCAGTTTTATTATTTGTTGAACAGCTGTTAAAACAATGCAACCCGACAATGACACCTATCTGAGTGAAAGCAATAATTGAATGGGTACATATTGCTTAATGTGACATCCCTTTCAGCTAATTGGATTGGGACTGCAAATCACCGTGGAAACCAATTGATGTTGATGAATCTTCCATTCTCTAAATAATTCAAAATGCACATGGAGACATTCATGCTTTTTGTACATATGTACAACCTGTATATGAAGATTAATGTAGAGTTCTACAATTTGTACCATGTGTATGTTACTTTAAAAGGGGAAATATTGTCTGCATTCATCAGCTCAATTGCAATCATCTACATGTACATGTATATTGTATACACAATGTAGAAAGTAGAATGTAGAATATACAGTAGATCACAGAAAAATTAAACAAAACACACACAAAGAAAATAATCCAAAGGTAAACACAAAAAAAAATTCAAACAATTTCTTGATTCGGTAAGCCCCCCCCCCCCCCCCAACAAAAAAACAAAGACAAAATCAGATCAGTTGATTAATAATAGAAAGATACTAGCAATTCTAAGCTGCTATTTCAAGATCAGAACATTGTGCTGTTCTCGAATGAGAGTGATTAAATTGTATATTCTTTTCATTCAAGCCTCTAAATAGGCAACACGGTGCAAAATGTATAATCACTGTTTCGATGTCAATTTGGCAATTTATCAGTTAAAATTTATGTCACAGCTGGTTCATTTGGTGATAAATCTTTTCCAAACTATAAAGAAATGGAGAAGAAAAAAATAGACTTTGTAGCCAATTTGAGGGGAGAAAACTAATTATTGTAGAAAATAAGAAAAATGTGAACTGTTACAGAGTGCCTGGTGCAACATATGGGCCCCTACATTTTAATCCTGCATTCCTCAGGACCCCTCCCCCTCCCCCCCCCCCCCCCACCCCATCGCAAAATCTCTCCTGTAGGCTCTTGCACATGCATACATGCCAACATTTCAAAATCAGAAATCTGTACAAATTATGCTATTTTCAAAAAAAAAAGAGGAACAATCCTAACTCTCCTATTCAATACTACAGACAAATTTGTACAGGAAGAGGAACACCTGCATTAAAATGATAATTATCTTCTCCCAAAAAGAGGAATGTTCCTCTTTAATCTGAACAGTTGGCATGTATGCACATGGTCTTACACATCCTTCTAAAAACGACATTGTTACTATTATTTGTGACAAGTTCACAAGCACAAAACAGCGCCTTCAACTGCACCTCGATGTTAAATGAAGGTCCTTCCCGCGTGGGTTTTCGGCAACAAAACAACAACAAACGAAAAACATTTTTTTTTTTTTTGCCCCCAAAATAGGGGTGCGCCTTCATATACACAGGTGCGCCTTATACACAGAGATTTACAGTAGACAGAATCACCTCAAGTAACGGTGGATTCAATGCAAGATCAAGTGACGGGTTGGCACTGGGGTTCATGTTATTCATTTTTCCATTGCTGTAGTACCACTTCTCCATTTTTGATTGACGATTCCCTTTAAACCCTCTAGTCTCTACTGATCCCCTTTGCTAAACTGCGTAGGCATCTAAAATACATTGGGCGGCTAATTGGTAAATGACTGCATCAGTGCCATGGCAATGTTTGAAGGGGGAAATGGAGCATTCGGCGGGAGAAGCAACGTAACTGGATCGGTGGCACGATCATGTTCAGCGTGACGGACGGGTTAAGAGGATCGCGTCATGTTGAGGCTTAATACATGTACACACTGTTTACTCAGGGCATGCGTCACAGTGCTTTAAAGATCTTAGAAGGGGTTTCTGCTTCTTCATGAGGTCCATGAGGTTTGCTAATGCATCTCATATTGCAAGTAACTTGGGCTCATTTACACAGATGGAAATATTGTATAAGAATGTACCTTGTATGTATGTGCTTTAACATTTCAAGAACAGAAACAATTCCTTGACCCTGATTCTTTACCAACATTTTTTGTTAGGGTAATTAATACTACGCTCACCCCTCTGTTTCTTCTGCACATGACATTTGGGGTACAATATTGACGACACTGTAACCTCTATTTAAAAAAAAAAATATTGTCTGAACTGAGGGTTCTGTGTAACCCTGTAAGTTGGGGCTTTGGTCGGATCGGAAGATCGGAGCGACACCTTGCATGCCTACATTTTTAATCCAAGATGGCGGCCCACATGTTTTGCCTCTTCTCTCAGACCAATATTATTAATTTCAAAGTCATGAAAAGGCACTAAATATCAACAAGCATGGTCTACAACAACTCCAAATGACAAAATAATCCCTGCTATGAATTTTTGTAAAGCATTTGATAGCCAAAAGCTTGAAAATTTCAGCATTAAAAAAAAAAAAAAAAAAAAAAAAAATCTGATCATTTTTATTATTTTCCGATCACCCCTGTTCGGCTCAAGATCGGCCCCCGATCCGATGATCGGTTAGAGGCCTAGTTCTGTGTACATAAGAAAAACAGAAGTATCCGGACACAAGCTCATATAGCTCAAGATGTTAATAACAATACATATTCTTTCACATGATTGGTAATGAGAGCTTCCATTTCATTTTTTTAAATTGGGGCGTTTCCAATACTGGTCTTTACCTTTAATACTACACCCTCCTCCCAAAAATGTGACGTATGAAAACTTATATCTAAAAGTATTCAACAAAGGCCCTAATTTATTACCAGTTCACACCTTTTATTCGTGAGTCACAAAAAACACAAAAAAACATGCAATCTTCAAGGGGTATGAATAATTGAAACTTATACTGTACATGTACATGTAGTTTACCCTCTATCACATACATCGCATGCACTATACCCACCAAAGTTGAATTTACAAATTCATAATGGCTTTTGCAAATGGGCATCACATCTGCACTATCGTTATGATGCAGCCTGTTGTTCAATAATTATTCCACAGCTAGTGCGCTGTTCTTCAACAGACGGCATGGAGTCTGGCAATATGTGAGTTACATTATGAATATGAGACAGTGACCCGAGTACTTACATGTATACACTGTACATAATTGTGTGTATACATGTACATGTACATGCAGAAATGGTAATGAATTTTGAATCACATAAAGATATATATATATATATGCACAATACTTCATGTCTCAAGTTGGGAGAAAAAACAAACAAACAAAACACTCCAATACATTTGTGACTATGTTACAGTAGGGGCATTTACACCGTCTTCCAAACACACCAAAAAATGCCAACCGGAGCCTGACCGCGATGTTACCAAGGGCAACTACGCTTTACCGGCAGAAATGCCATGCCCGAAACATTCCAAAACGAAGTGTGATCTTTTGGCGTGTTTTGGCGTGTTGGCAAGTATGAATGCTCGCAGTTCGCGATGTTAGGTCACGTGACTTTAGGAGCGGAGCTAGCTGTCGTCCTTGAAGAAAATGATAGAACGATGTAAACAAAGAATAACATAAGAGAAGGTGATAGAAGGAAGAAACAAAGAATAACATAAGGAAACACAAAAAGAGGAAGTGATAGAATGATAAAAAACAAGGAATAACATAAGAGAAGGTGATAGAAGGAAGAAACAAAGAATAACATAAGGAAACACAGAAAGAGGAAGTGATAGAATGATAAAAAACAAGGAATAACATAAGAGAAGGTGATAGAAGGAAGAAACAAAATAACATAAGGAAAGACAGAAAGAGGAAGTGAAAGAATGATAAAAAACAAAGAATAACATAAGAGAAGGTGATAGAAGGAAGAAATAAAGAATAACATAAGGAAACACAGAAAGAGGAAGTGAAAGAATGATCAAAAACAAAGAATAACATAAGAGAAGGTGATAGAAGGAAGAAACAAAGAATAACATAAGGAAACACAGAAAGAGAAAGTGATAGAATGATAAAAAAAAAAAAAAAGGAATAACATAAGAGAAGGTGATACAGATGGAAGAAACAAAGAATAACATAAAAGAAACACTGAAAGAGAAAGTGGTAGAAGAAACAAAAAATAACATAAGGAAAGACAGAAAGAGAAAGTGATAGAAGGAAGACACAAAGAATTACATAAGGAAAGACAGAAAGAGAAAGTGATAAAGAATAACATAACTTTTTAAAATGAGGTATTTGACAGTATAAATGCGCCTACATGTACAATGTATACATGTACATGTACAATTGTACATGTATGCATTGTACATGTGCACTGCACTCTCTCTTCTCAAAATACGATAAAATGAAATCATTATCCCCTTTGGTGACAGCTAGTCTTTCCATATTCTGTGGTTTGGCTCAATAACCTTTGATTCAAACTGCAGAGCCCTAAAAATATGTGAGAATTTCTGAACATTGTATCTATTTTTGTTTTATGACTGTATTGTATTTGGTGCCAGCGATTTTTTTAAAGGAAAATAAGCTTTA